TATTCTATTCTATTCTATTCTATTCTATTCTATTCTATTCTATTCTAGTCTATTCTAGTCTATTCTAGTCTACTCTACTCTACTCTCTACTCTACTCTCATTCCATTCCATCCCATCCCATTCCATTCCATGTCATGCAATTTGATTGATTGATTGATTATCCTAGTGTTCTTGATGCAACTTCCGACTCCTTTTGCTCCCTTTGATACCAAACAGACACACCACCATGACAATTCTTGGACTATAACTTGCAAGATCCCTACGGGGGGCGGGGGTGGGACTCAGCTGGAAGGAAACATCTTCTGGAAGGCTGTTTCTGGTTTTTGATGGCTACTTCGAAAAACGCAGCCTGAGCTTCCAAGTGTCATAAAAAACAACAACTTCTTCTTCATTGGATGGCTCTGGATTTTGGCCGTTTCCCAGGGGACTGTGGAATCTTCTACTAGGTTCTCTTTGAGGGCCACCTTGGATCTGGCTGAGCTTCTAATCTACTGGGAGGTCCATAGCTGAGTCCTGTGGCCAGGTGGCTTCAAACCAAAGCCGAACCTCAAGAACGGACACTTTTCTCCCTTTGCTTGGACCACCTCTTCTCAAAGGGAAAGAGGCCGGCAGCTCAAACTGAGTAGCACCAGGAGGAGGACAGGATAGCAGCCTGTAGTAAGCCGAACTTGGGGTAGGAGGGAACGAAAGAGATGTATCTCCATCTCACTGAAAGGAGAAGTTCAGCAAGAGTCCCATTATCGGGTTTCGCTGACACACCAGCTACAAGTTTCTTGTTTGTTAAATGTTTGTTTTTACAAAAAAAATGCCTTCTGTGCAAATTCGAGAAGGTTAGAAAAGAAGAGGAGCCTTTGGATAAAGAAGGAAGTAATAGTCTGACCGACAGCAGGGAGGGTCAGCATGAGGAAGAAACACAACAACAATGGTTATAAGGAAGGAGACCTCCCCAAGTCTAAGGTCATTTGGTGCCTACCTTGCTCCTGAGCCCAATTAAGCCGGCTGCCAAGAGTAAAAGGCCTCCTAAGCCCATGAGGCTGAACTTCAGGTACTCCAGCAATGAAGGAATGATGATCAGATGGGTGTAGTAGTCGTGCAAAACGTCTCCTTCGACCTCCCCGCTCTGGTCAGAACAGAGAAACAAAGAGTGAGTGTTTTGCGTTCCCTATAAGATTTTATTTACTCTGCAAGAGGCCGAGCGGGAGAACGAGGCTGCACCCAAGGAAAGAAACAATCGAAGTCCAACTGGCTTTCCGTGGTTTTTAGCTTGATGGTGGTGAGGGACCCTTTGGCTTTGCATCCCAGGTGGTGTTGTGGCCTGCCAGCGGTCAGCAGAGCTGGCAGCAGATTCGGACAGTGAGGAGCTTGGGGTGGAATATGGGCCCGTCTTAGCGTCTGGGGAAGGCTCTGATGAGGGCTCTGCATCGGAGGCAGAGATGGGGCCAGGGCCGTCTGACAGTTATCAGCTGCCTTTGGAGTCGGAGATCAGTGGGGTGGAAGAACAGCTGGAGCCTGTTCCCAGTGTGCGCATGCACAAAGCTGCCAGGAGAAGGGAACAGCTAAGGAACAAGGGTCGACTCGGGAGTAAAGGCACAGGTAGACGGTGAATGGCTCGAGCAGTGAAAGGGGAGTGGGGTTTGCAGGAGACAATTAGTTCAATTCATTAGGGTGAAGATCTGTTCCTGACTTTTTGCCAAGTAATTGCTGCTACAGCGTGGCGTTTGGAAGCTATCGTCCTGACAACTCTCCAAGCCTGATAAAGGTCTATAGTTGTAAAATCTCTTGAAAGACTGTCTGCCGGGACTTTGCTGGAGAAGAATTCACTTTAACCTAAATAAAAGGGATTTTATTGGGACGAAGAGTGGCTTTCATGATTTTGGGAAGCCTAGGTCAGAACAGGTGGGTTTCATTTGCTCCCCTTGGTGCGTTGTCCTTCCAGCCTCCCCAAACATGCAGCCACATGCGGTGGATCTCCTTTCGCTCAGATTTGGTTTAGATTAAGCATGTTCAGATCCCTTCTGTGACATCACAGCAGGTTAGCCAATGGCAAACCAGAGTTTCTTCTCACCAGCCCCAAAAACTTTCCTTGTTTTGTTTTCAAACAATAAAAAAATATATTTGTTTTCTTAAGTTTTTGCGGGTACTTACATGTATGTTATTCAGCTTTGTTCAGGTATTTTCCCACATCATTACAGTTGTGCTTTTAAAGTTGTAGCAACGTTTCGGCAGAATCTCATCTGCCATCATCAGGCTTCTGTATTGTGTTCGTCTGTGAGTCAGACTTTTACAGTTGTTTCAGTTTTAAATTTGGGGCTAGCCTACTGCTGTGCCAGAATGGTTTTTTCTTCATCCTGATTGGTTGGGAGTCTTGGTCTATGTTTATTGGTCTTGGAGTTTGCTGTGTTCTGCTTGATTGGTGTTTCTGATATCTTCTGTCTGTTTTGTGGCTTTTTTGTGTCTTGATTGGCTGGCAACATTGTGTTCCTGTATTGGAGGCTTTTAGTGCAGCTTGGCTCTGAGTAAATGGATGGCTATCATTTGTTAGGAAGCTAGGTTTCATCTGGGTGCCTGGTTGGGGTGTGTTTGAGCTGGAGGTATCGGGGGGGGG